TTTACCCTTAAAGTAGCAATAAGTGTATTTGTCAACTTCTGCTTACACATCCTGTGTATGTTGACATTTTGACAGTATCAGACAAACCACACAACAACCTACCCGCTCCTCCCCCAAGCCACAGATGAGCAAGTTGTCACTGCATGCTGTCGGAAGGTACATTCTCCATAGGAACTGCTACCCCACCTGCAAACATTGCTCGTTTCATTATTAATTTGAAATACTCATTTGAAACACAATGTTTTCATTGTCTTTAGAATGGGACTGTGCCCTCTGAGTTACAGGCTAGAGGCACCGCTATAAATAGGTAAATTGCACAGCTCAAGACCACTGCAGAGGCTTCCATACAAACAGGGATGAAAGTAGAATCCCATAGTTCTAGATTAACCAGAACTCCTTAATAGTATTTGCTCAAGTCTGCCAGCGAACTGATTTCATTGCATTCTCAGACCAAAAATTCAATACTTCCTGAAGACAAATAAAGTATACAGATTCGTATGCTTTTGGTCTCTTCACTGCAGAATTTATCTGGCCTAGAAGCAAAAACTAATTTTGCTATCTTCCACAAGCCAAGAATAAAAATGTTGCCACCACTCTCCAGTGAGCAAATCTGACTTACGCTGTACTCCCGTCTCAGTAAGTGCTACCCTGTTTACCTTTTTCATGGTAGCTGCACAGCAAACAAAACTCTTGCAGTTATTTGCAAGAGATCTCAAATCCCCTCACTGGCAAGCACGCCTCAGTACCTTCTCATTTCACAGACACAATCCCCATGCTTTTTGTTCTAAGATACACTAAGATGCCATATAAATGGCATTTTACAGTGCCATGGAATAATAGCACTGGGCATGCATTCCCCCCTCTCTACTTCCTCCTTAACTCAGTCAGGGAGATAGAAGAGCAGGAAAACAGTTTCATCGTAACATAATAGCAGCAAAATCCCTAAATTTTGAGCTTTTTCCATCTCCCCAAATTCTCTCAAAAGAGAAGGAAAGCAAAAGATAATCTCCAAGTGCCAAGCCGTAGGCAATACTAGGCTGTGTTTTATCCATCCCATCTAAACCAAAGGCCAAGTACGCAAGAAAGGCCATAACTTAATAGCTGTAATAGATGCAGTAATTAGTAGTTGGTTTTAATCTCCAAGTCTGAGAACTGATTTTAATATTGGAAGCTATCAAAACCTGTTAAGCCCACACAAAACATTTTGGTTTCAAAGGACCTTCCACTCTCGCCCTAGAAAATCCTTTCTTATTTCCAAAAGTCCTCGCCAATTCTATCAGTAACACCCTCATCTGCTACAGTGCTAAATTTTCAACCTGTGCCACGTTACCACCGCAAACTTAGAGGCCAAAACTAAAACTCGAGATTCCAGAAATCTACAACAATTCAGTTATTGGCTGCTACACCCCTTTTTAGTGCTTCCCTTCCAGAGGAGGGTTAGGTCCAACCTACATTCCTGTAGCAGTGGCTATCTAGACCACCTCACCTCCAGGAAATGCACACCCAAAGCTCCAACAATTATTCTACGTGCTAAGCTGGTCTGCTCCTGCATTAGCTTTCACCAGCCCCACCTCTGTTCTAATTAAGCTGCTTCCTTTCAGGGCCTATGATAATTTTGTCTGGTTTAAGAACTGGAGAAGCCAAAGTGGCCAAATAGAGCAAAACCCCCAGATACTCCCCACCAGACACATGCACCTCGTTATTTATAGGATCTGTTATATACCATCTAGTTCACTATCTTCACTTCCACCTGTCCCCAACTCTTTC